GAGTCAGGTACCGGGGGCACCCCTATTGGGAAGTTTGAAGGGCCGGGTAAGTCTAAAGGGCTGAGTTTGTCCTTGAAGTGGGAAGAAGGGGGGGGGTTCAAATCTGTTGAATCTGATGATTTTAATATTGGAAGCTCTACGGTGTGTGATTTGAGCCAAATTTGCACATTAGCAAGATTTGCCTAATCTATCCATTTGAATTATCAGATTTGAGAAAAAATCATCAGATTCAACAGATTTGAGAGATCAAAAAATTCAATCAAAGAGAGACCCCTCGTTTTTTATGGATAACAAGGATGACAATATTGATAAACAGATACATGTAATAGTAGTAATAATAACCAGACTAAACACAATATAAGAGTAAATACAAGTAAAGGTTTTTAAGTTCAAACAAACAACCTAACAACCTAAAAAATGAGTTACTTTTATGACTGCCTCTGGATTCAGAATAGAGCATAGGGAATTTGGAATTTTAAGTGTAATGATTTGTGTGTGCATACACACAATAGTGTTCCCTAAAATACTTCCAAACCCAGGACATTTTGAAAACCAACACTCCCCAACATGCCCTCTTGTTCCCACTCCTTACCTATCTAGCCGTCAAAAGATATTAATGAAAAATGAAAGGTGGTCCTCCAGCCCCAAAATTTTCATTTGGATGCATGGTTCAGACTCCAATTTAGAAATGCATGATGGACCCCAAACATCTCATATAGTGTTACATGATGCACCAAGATGATTAAACAAGAATCTGATTTGAAGCTTAAAAAGTGCTCCAAATTTGATGCAAGGAAAAATAATAACAAACAAATAAAAATAAATAAAAAGAATTTTCAGAGATTATACCCTTTCTCTGGGTCTGTAAGGGAGTCCACCCCAAAATCATTTCACAAGACCAAACTCTTTACTCAATCACCAATAAACTCTGTTTACAATGAGGGACTTCCTACCCTTAAAAACAAAATAAAAAATAAAAAAAAATAACCATAAAATTCTCTCTCTCTCTCTCTCTCTCGCTATATATATATATATATATATATATTACTCCT